GGCAGACTTTATGGTTAGCACACAGAGATACAGCAAATCAGATGTTTTTAAAGGCAGCTGAGAAACATTTATAGAAAAAAGAGCAAAAAGGAAGAATTTACTTTAGAGGATGATTTTATACTTTGTTAGCTTTGAAATAACATATAACGCCCTTGCTGTCAGAATGCAATTAGTACCTGGTGGCCAGCTACCATGTATGTTTACATACTGTTTCTTTTATCTCTATTCATTTGGATTGCGGCCTAAGAATGAAGAAACACCTTACTTACTTATTTGCATTAAATTTGATTACCATACCTTCTGTAATTTTAACTGAATTTTTGACTCGCTGGTGTTTGGTGAAATGTAAATTGTTTGGTGATCTTCTAAGTGCATTCAATTAATATTTCTCATAGCTGGATTGTGTGTCATAGCATTTGGCAGTGCTGTGTTTAGCTAATGTCCAGAGAATATGCTCTGAATAGATTGTATTCTGGATAAATAAGTTAGGCATTTAAGTAGAAACCAGTGTGACTAATGTGGGATATCAAATTCTCTAGGACTTGCAGTTCTATATATGCTTGAAGAATGCATGCCTGAAAACATAAGCCATTTCATAACCTTGACTTTGATTGCATCACATAGCTTTGTGCTGGTGTTTGCATTGTAACCAGCTTGGGCGATCTCAGCACTGGTGGGTGATTGATGTTCTCTACTGGAGTGTCCAGTTCTTCATTACATTACCACAGTCGCTCTAAAAGCCTGCTGGTCAGGTTGGCTTCATCAAGGTGTTTTCACTGATGTGGATTCTCCGGCATATAAGTGAAATATGTCTTAGCCACTTTAAGGGATGTCTTTACAATTGGGAAGCACAAAAATACGTCTAGTTTGATAAGATCTTGCACATGAGGCCAGTATCTAAATACCCCAACAGCGCTCAGAAACAATTCTGCATAGCAAAGGGCAATGATTGCCTGTCATGGCTGTGCTAGGCAGAATTGAAAAAATCCATTCTTGCAACCTGACTTGTCCAGGTCAGGAACTTTTTTCTTTGTATGTAGATACCTAATAGATAATATAATATATGCCATAAAGCATATGACACATTGTGTACTAGATAGAGGGATGGGGTCCACAATATTCAAGGAGTTAAACCGCAAACATGACAGTTTTCCTGCAGCCTACCTTCAGTTAACTTTCCAGGTTAAGTCTGACCAGGATTTTTCTACCATGTTTGGGTTTTGCATACTGTGTTAAAGAATCGTCCTCCCCAGGTTTTGTATTTGTTCTCATTACATAATTTGTTGGGATGTCGGTCCAATAATAGTCACATAAAATGTGACTTGCTATAAATGAAGAGTGAATGTGAACATTTTAAGATAGTGAAAAATAGCCATTTTTATGGGACAGTAGTGGTTTATGCATGAAACTGAAATAGGAACTCGAGTCCTTTTCTCATTTATATTGTAAACTGATCTTGTCATATTGGACCCGAGACCTTCTCATGATGGGTTGGATAGACTGAGATCCAAAAGCCACTGGATCCAAGATCAGATTATGGCTTTTGTTATACTGATCTGGCATGTTTCTTTGTTCGTGACTTATCTGTACTATGTTGCTCCCAGCCATTTTGGGCTTTATGACACTGTTTTAACTATTCAAATAGTATCAGAACCTATTAACTATTAAGAACCTTGCTGACAGTATGCATAGATTGAGTACGGTAAAATGATGTCTGACAGTAAAATAATTCTAATGTAATTCATCCTTCCTTACTGCAGTCTTGCTTTGAAACGTGGCATGGGACTTGAGAGTAAGAAAAGCTGGTTCTTGTGCTATCATTGTCAGTACATGGTATCTGCTGTGTGCAGAAAGGATTTTAGTTTCTGGGGCTGCCCATTTGGCATCCTTCTAACAAATGTAAGGTTTCTGGAGGAAAAAAAGAAGATCCAAGATGCTTTGTGCTCTCTCCGATTTTTTTTTTCCTCTTTGAAGTTAGTTTTGCCACATGATAGTCTAATTTGCATTGCAAATTGAGTTCATCCAGCTTGTGGGACAATGAAGATGTAAACAGGTGTTCATAAAAGTATAATTTGCCAAACAAAATAAACATTGGATTCTAGGGATTTCTGATTATCATTTGAGCTATGGGAATAGGACAGCGAGTGAGGGATCATTTTTCCCTGGAATGTGGGAGTTGGGGGGAGGCAGAAAGGTCTTTGAAGATCTTGTTTAATTGATTCCTAGATGTAACCTTTTCCTGTTTTTCATTTGAGGCTTTCTGGCTCCCCTTTCCCCTTCAGAATATGGGACTGATGTACTACAAGCAAATACCAGCACTTCAATAAATGCTCCACAGGTTCTTTCTTTCAGGAGGGAATGTAACAAATTCATGCAGACTAGAATTTAAGGAAAGTTATAAAGTTTACAGCAGCTACAAATTTATGTGTTTATTTGAAGTATTGTGGGTTTTTTTTTTTCAGATAAATATCATTAAGATAAATAAATGTTCTGTGTGTTTGGCAGTGTTCTTAGAAAGAGAATATGTCTATAGCATATGTTTATGAATTTTGTTATGATGCACACCTTGAGCCTCTCTGGCCATGACAAGAAGGAAAACTTCCCTGTAAGTGTTGTCAGTTAGCAGCTATAGAAGCTAAGATCCCTTATAAAGTCAGAGCTGCTGATCTTTGATTTGAAGATAACTGCACTGATTAGAATAGACAAGTACAAGAGGTTTTAGGGTTTTTCCTAAACTTGCAGACTTACGGTGTTATTGCCCATGTTTTTTTGCTCAGATCTTGGAAAGCTGCAGTAGAAGAACTATGCAGGCTGTCTTCCTGACTTCTCTGCTAGCTTTCCTATTTTCCCTGCCCTCTAAAGATACCAGAATCAGTAAGGAAAGCCAAAAGAAATCTTCTTTATCAACTTCTGTCTCTGCTGTCACATGTAGCTTTCTGAAGAGCTGTTAGCTACTCGGAAGAATAGAGAACTGAGAAAAGGAAAGCTAGGGAAAATAAAGAACAAGAAGAAACATCTGTGAACTGTAGCTGTAGGAATTATGTAGTGCAGACATGTCAGCATTACCATAGCTTAGAAAATATTGTTAAAAGTGGGAGAAACCCAGTGACATACCCTGTCTATCTCCAGAAGGCTCTGAAGTGGCCTAGAAGAATAGACAAAGATGGGACTACTCTTTCCTTTTTGATACCTATAAAATGTTTTGTAGCAATTAGCCAGAAGGTGATCTGAAAGAGAGAAGTACTGGGAAGTGAATCCCAGCAGCTCAGTAGGAAGGTGCCTTCCTCACTTGCCTCCTTTGGAACTCATTCGGTCCTCTGTTGTATTGGATCACAACCAGTAAGGTCAGTAGTTATATCTAGCAGTCATTCCTTTCAATAAAACCTCTTAAACTTAAGAAATGTTACACTATTATCCTGTGGTATAACGGTAACGGATCTTGGGAAGTTCATCTTAAGCTTTAGGTTTCCAGTCATCGTGAGTGTAAACAAAAGCTTCCAAATGAGGATCCATTTCAGACCACTAACTCCTCCTGTCCCAGTAGCTTATGGAGGAGTGAGCTTCCTCCGTCACTGAAGACAAGTGCTGACTCTGAACTGACTTAGATTGGCAAGATTATCTGTTTCATTACTGACAGTTTAATAATGTTTGTTTATCTGTCCTGCTAGGTGAAATGTTGGGCCGTGTAAGGAATGACAAGTGTTCAGGTTGTGTTCAAGTCAAATCCAGTCCTTCCTTTGACAAGGAGATGAAGTACCTTTTACCTGGCTAAATGCTTAGCCGTGTTAGGTGCTCCCAGGCTAGAAAACAAACCACCTCACCGCCACCCCACTGCCCAAACTGTCCTGTCAAACAGCCACAACCTCAGGTTCTCTGTAACAACCATGATCTCTAACATTCAGCTCCAGCACAGGTCAGATCTTGAGCAGCACAACTGCCCTAAAAGTCATGGAACAATTTGGGATGAAAGCAACCTCCATACAGCTAGATCCATTTAACTCTTATGGCCAGTTGAACACCAAATTAGCGTTTAAAGCTTTCAGTGTTCTCTCTTCCCTAATAAGAGTGTAAGCTTTGGATTTTTCTGGCTGTGTGCTGAGTATAGAGGGTTAAAAGGCAGAAGTCAGGACTGCAATCAGAAATTCATGTCTAATGTTCCTGGCTCTGACATGACTTGTTAAGCACTTTTGAACAAATTACTGAATATTTCTGTATGTGTGCTTCTACAAAATAGAAATCCATATAACAAACATCCCACTCCTAGAGATGACGTGAGACTATGTTTGTATAGCATTTTATTGCTATAAATAGTAAAAGAAGTTAGATTTGATTTTTAGAGGCAAATAGGCTTTTCTTTGTTTCTAAACAGTAGCAGTTTCAGGAGGGACGCTTAATAAGGTCATATTGGTGGGCCAATATAAAAGCTTGCAAGTTTATTGGATAAAAACATATTTGGCAATGCATATATTGCCATATATAATAGACCTCACCAGACAGTCATGCAATTCCATTTCAAATTGGAAAGCAACTTCAGTAATACTTTGAAATAACTGGGATAGGAGTGGTTTTTAATCATCAAAGTCATGCCTTTGTTGGACAACTTCTGAAAAGGCACAGGGAGAACAAAAGATGGAGCTGCATGAGTTTATGAAAGGAATTATATGAAATAATTTCCCCTAAACAAGCCTGAACATAATAACAAAAATCCCACCAGCCTTATGGGTTTCATAAATGCAGAGTAACATTAGGTGGAGAAATCCCACTAATTAAAAAAAAATCTATTGTTGTTTTAGCCTTAATTCAAGTCAACCTGACCCAAAGAACTGTATTGACATGTATTAAGAATTGCTATTTTAAATCTACCTGAGCCAAACTCTGAAACTGATTTTATTATTTTATTTTTTTGTTTTCATTTATTAGTAGGTCATGATGGTTCTGAGTACAAAGCCTTAGCTGCCTGATTTGTAGTGTCTAAATTCCTGTTCTTCTGTTCTCTTTAGATAAATACAGGGCACCGATCGCAGTTGACTGTATCAAGTGCAGAGGTGGGAAATGAAAGGAGTCAAAATTTGGAAAGCAGCCCTTTCATGTCAGATCTTCTGAGTGACGTACCCTTTGCCCTAGCACCACATGTGTTAGCAGTACAGGGCACCCATAATGACGTTCCTGACCGATTGCTCACCTACGACATCAATGATAATTTATCAAGATTTTGGTATGACTTTACACTTGAAAATTCAGTGCTTTGTGATCCGTAATGTTTTCTTTTATTTTTTTGTGTCTGTGTCAAGGAACAAGTCTTAAGGTGAAGATAGAGACTTACTTTAATTGACTTAATATTTTGGGGGCCTGCCACTGGTATACCAGATGCATTCACAACTGTGTTATATTTCTTAGCTTTAAGTGAACTGTAACTTACTGTGTTAAATAAATGTGTTTATCTCCAAAGAAATCAAGCAAAACTGTTTCAGCCTGAGTAGCCTGTTGGTATCTACTTCCAGTAGGTAGGCTGCAGACACAAACATTTCATAACTTTAAGGTGAAGTCTACGCATGTCTACACTGTTTTGTTATTTCACTCAGGTACTAAACACATAGATCCTGTTACGCATGTTTCTTTTAAGATCACCTCTGATTTTCTACAGATAGAAACCAGTATTAGCGCTAAAGCAAGGCTGCTTTGCACTACTGGACAGACAGCTTTCCAGTTAAACCAAGTTTTAAAGCTCAGAGTTAATGATGAGAACTTAAATAATTATGAAGGCATAATAGAATTGGTTAAACTTACCAATTCCAAAGTGAAAATCAGTTGCTCTGCTCCCTTTCCAGTAGATGGTATTTTTGTCCATCTCATTTTGTGCCTGGAAAAGTCCTCCCCGCCTGCCTGTTGGCTGCTGTTTGTTCTCATTACCACATGTGTTCCTGATTTATACATAGATCAGCTTTTCCATTTTAACCTCTCTGCCCCCTGAAGAAGGAAATCTCAGGACACGTACTTTTAATGGTCACACCCTTCTTTTTTTAATTTGTGTGCCAGGGATACAGATGGCAATGTTTAACAACAGGAAAACATTACATTGTTTCTTATCCAGCCAAATTAAATGGCTAAGTACCTAAACATGCATTCTCACAGACCACTGTGTCCCCCGCTCACAAGTTTTGAGCGTGTTTTTCCCGACTAAAACCAGAGCTGCTGTTGCATGAGCAACAGCTCTCTGATGTAACATCGTGATTTGTGATGAATAATGATCTGTGTCACACAAAAGACTACACTTGTTTTCTCTCTTGGGGTAGAATATTTATAGTGTGCCAAATGTTAGTGGATATTTTCATACATTTTCTATGCTCTGTGATAGCTGAAAATACATCTATTTTCAAACTTGTGTCTTCTTACAGTATTTGAGATAGATACTGTAAATGATGAAGAAATTACATTGTGAATATGTCTTAGGTTGTTAAATATTCATGTTTTTGATTTTTTTAAATGTATGTATTTAATATTTTTGGTAGCTGTGTTCATAAATGGTTTGAAGTTATTGTTTCAGGGAAAGTATCTGTGCTGCACTCCAATAAAAAAATGCTAAGTAATAGTGAGTTATTTTTTATGTGTGAGAGTAATTGCTTGGCTTCACCTGTATTGTTTACTATAGCTGTGATCATGCGGACTTCATGGGAGCTTGAACTTGGAAATTCAGTTCAGAAACCTTTTCAGTATCACTTAAAAATCAGGGTCCTTCTAATCAAATATATCACACCTTCATCTGCTGTATTCTGTATACTGGGTTGGTGACTTGTGGTGGTTTAGGTGGCATCCATGACACTGCTCTGAGGATAGCATGGCTGTGAGCTGGGAAGTACTTGGACCTCTTAGAAGGAAGAATTAATTTTACCAAGTTCTTTAGAACTGTTTTGTGTGCTGAGTTTTCTGGTTAACACGTACCTGAAGCACTAAATTTAATTTTTGTGATTGTTTTATATTGAATCATTAAAAAATTAACCATCCTGCAAATAGCATGTTTCCATTCAAGTTGTCCATTTTAAATCTGAAATGTTTCTGCAGCTCAGCTGGTCTAGAAGCAGAACTGCAAAACACTGTTGATGAGCCAACAGACTTACTATACTCCTTCTTTCCTTGCTAGCTGACTTAGCATACAATTTTTTTGGTGTTCAATTTTGTTTAAAGATAGCTTATTTATCTAAAATAATCACATCTTGTCAGAATCACACTCTGTTACACTCAGAAGCCAATATTCTGTCCTTGCAAAAGAAAAGAAGAGGCAAAGGAGGGTGGGGTTGTATTCACCTATAATGAGAAATATGGACGGTAGGTTAACATTTGGCTGCATCCTTAACCATATTCTATAAAGGGTAAAATTTACACCTAGCAAAAGTACTAGTAATGAGTGCTGGGAATGTGTCTTCTGACTGCCCTCTCTTTAGCGAGGGCTGGGGCTCAGAGCTCTCCCTTGCTTGACATCATCCATAAAAAGTGGATTGAAGCCTAATGGTATCCAGACAGCAAAGGTGAATTTATCCCCACCGGGCTGGGATAAGAAAAAAATACACTTAAACTGTTATAAATCAGGAAGATTTATGGATATTACTATTTGCCCACTAATAACATGAAGATGGCACAAATCTCCAGAAAATTAAAGATTTCAAAGAGACTTAGCTCATACAAAAATGTAAGTTGCTTGTGTAAGATGTGTTTAACATCATACACAAAGTGATTATTATATAGAATATATGTGAATAATGTGTATCTGTCACTGTCAACAAATACTGGATGGTTCTATATATTGTCATTCAAACATTTGACCACTGATGAAGGAATATAGTTAAGAAATTTTAAAACTATGAAAATAGAATCAATATGGATATCAAAATAGTAAACCACCCTGGCTGTCCTTTCTGCATGTTCTGTATGTAAAAATGAGAACTTGAATAGAACAGTTTGCTTTGTGTTATGCATATGTATGTAAATTGTTTCGACAGAACTGAAAGGCATTTTGTAGCTGTTGTCATTAACGTCAGAATTAAGATAGGTTGTCAACTCCAGAACTAATAATGTAAGGCTGAGGTGTGATCCTGGGCCAGTGAAACGCTGTAAATGGGAGCTTTGTCACTTCCATTAGCGGACATATCCGTAGGCCTGCACTCCTTTATTAAATGGTTTATTTAGAGTTACTTTGGTTCATGGGAGACTCTGAGTTTTCATTTGCAGTTCTCTACGTTTTCCTCGCAAGAGATGTACTCTGCGTTGTGTGATAGCTTCCTTATGGAACTTCCTAATAAATCAAACATAACAAGACACTTCTTATTTCCTCTGGAAAAGTTGTAAATACAGGCTCTGGAAAAGTCTAATTTTAAATATTGAAAAAGGGGAGCGAAGCCCACATGTTCAAAGGTAAATCAAAGAATAATTGCATCCAGAGCAGCCCGACAGAAGGCTGATGGGGAGCTGGTCCCTACAGACGACTCCCTGGTGACAAACTCAGACGTGGAACCAGACAATGCCGTGTCCGGCTGGTCAGTCGAGGAGGTGGTTACAGATCCAGTTTCTGATGTTTTCTGTGAAGCGTGATCCAAACCCCGGTGCTACAGTACTGCAGCTGCCAAATACACACTTGAGATGAGAGGTTTTGACCCTAGAGCAAATCAAGGAAAAAGGCAAATCACTGCAGTAATTACGGTATCTCAAGATAACATAGAGTTTATTGCATTTTTAGCTGGAGAACCTGTTATGTTCACAAAAGCACTACAGCAGCTTCCGGGGCAAGACGAGGGGGTTGTTCTGAACAACAGCATAAAACTTGCACTTGAGAAACCACTCTCCTCCCCACCACCCCCCTCTTGTTACGACGCGAGAATTCACCTTGCTTTAGTGAGTATGGAGAGGAACCAGAAGTGCAGCTCCTAGGGGCGCGTCCTTCCCTTCTTAGGGAACTGCAATTCTTCTACTGATGACAGGGCAATTCCAGATTAACCAGATTTCCTCTCGAAGTCAGAGATTGTCTGTTGCAGCAACAGAGGCAGAAAATCCTCCTTAACGATCCAAAGGTAGGCTCTTGTTCAGTGCCGTAGGAAGGAGGAGGTTTAATAAGCCAAGTTGGGTGCATTCAGGCCCACCTGCTGTGCTGCATCTCTTCATCAGCGTTAAGCTTGACACTCTGCAATGAGCTTGCAAAGTCAGAAGTAGGTACATTAGGCCTGATTTCTTCCCATCAATATGTCAAATTCCTTAAGCTAAGTAAAATAATTGATCTCCCGGTATCCTCCATTGAGACCATGTTATATCTTTAGCAGTTAGATACGTCCTTTGATTCTCCTAGAGAACTACTTTCTTTTCCACACCTTTTATAGACATGAGACTGTCTTCTGAAAAGAGCCCTGGGCTTCTTTCTGCAAAAGGGATCTGTTTCCATAGACACTTTCTTAGCCTTCCCTCTGTCTGAACCACAGCCATCCACAAAAAGAGATGCAAGCGTTCCTGCTTACTGGAAGGGGAGAAAAGTCGCTACCGTGTTCCCGACACGTTGACAGTCAGTTGACTTGGAAGCATTACTGCCCATAGAATGAAACTGAGATTTTTGTCAATTCAGAATTTCATCATTTTTAGATGCCAGGAGTTAAAGAAGTGAACTTGGTCTTCTAGGCATGGCATTGCACTGTCTGTCTAGTTCTGGAGCACAAATTTTAGGCTCTTATGTACCGGTATGTGAAGCTGTTCTTTGCACTGTATGATGTTAATAAGACTGGTTTAATTCTCCTGCACATACTGCTGTGCAGGCTGAATGATCTAAAGAGCAATAAGGACCAAAGCAGTACTTGGACCTCTGTGGGTGCAGTCCCTAATAAGGCAACTCCATGGGCAGAATTTTTGTTTTCCCTCCATGTCTGAATGGTTTTAAGCATCCAGTAGAACGCCCCCAAAATAATTTAAACTTTATGTTCTGAAACATATTAATGGAAAGCTTTTCCACCTTCATGGTGAGTGCCACAGGTCTTGACTGAGCCTGGCTATTCTACCTGAAATTACTTTGAGGCCATTAAAATTACTAGTTTTTTACAGGTATCTACCTATGTCAGAGTTCTCGTGTTCATTATTTCCTCTAATTGTATAGAAGGAAAAATACGCTGCAAAATTACATCAAAACTGAGGGGAGGAGGACATTTGAAGCAGTTTTCATTGAACATTATTTCTGTAGCAGCTAACTTTGGCTGTAATGAAATTACAGAAACTAAATGAAGTGCGGGTGGTAAGAACATGATGACACTATCTTATAGGTGATCCAAATCAGAAGTGAATCGGTACTGTGCCCCATGTTGTCTTTTTTTGTGTACATGTAGTAGATAGCGCAATGGTCCCTAATGCTAACGCCTCTCTATGTTAACATAAATAATGGGAGAGTAACGATGGGTCACATATTCCTTTCAACATCTCAGAGCAGGTACTCGGTTTTCGTCTGCAGCCTTCCATGCTGTAGTCTTTCTAGACTGTTTTACCAAAAAAAGATGGTAAATATTCTATTAAAGTTCACTTTCTGATGAGGTCTCAGGGTAGCTCAAAGAGCTTTGCTGTATCATGGCTCAGTGGTTTGTCAAATACATCCCTTCTACAGAAGCAAAACCAGTCTGAGCAGGCTGCACGGTTCGTACAATAAACCGGGAGTTCTAAAGCTTTCAGCGTTGCGCTGCAGGTTATGATGAGATGTTGGAGAAGGCTTTTTTTAATTCTGTGGCAAAAGAGAGTATCTAGTGGTGGAAGTGGAAGTTATGATGACCCCCGAAGGATGCAGCAGCTGTAGAACAGAGACAAGAGAGGGCTTAGTTCTGCCAGCCAATTCAATTCACTTTTCCTTGCTGCAAAGATAAAATAAACTCTTGAGATCAAAGATCTCATTTACAAGGCCGTCCTCTTAAGTCAGTCGACACATGCACTTCAATAACAGAACATAAAAGAAACTGCTCACAAGCAAACAAAAAAAGATGAGCCTCAATTATAAACATCCCTCGTCCAACTGTTTGTGGATATCAGCATTATGGTTAGAGTAGCCACTCACATCCAAATGTTTGTGTAACTGTTCCAGGAGGTCAGCTTTGGGTATCCATCTAAATCTCCCTGGAAAAGAAGTCTGAAGCAGATGGGCTCAGAAAACAAAGACTCAGGTGAAATGGGCCATCGCGGTGGGACAGGAATTACTTATTTAAAGCAACTGATACTTGCTAGAACTGAAAAAGACTTTGAGACTTTAGACTGATCACTGCGTCACCCTTTTTGTGAAGAGATCTGCTATTTGTTTTCTTTAAGAAAATTAAGCAATGTGTGATGGTTTGGAAACTGTGCAGTAATTTCCTTTTTCAGCTGTTTTTAGAAACTACTGGTGCATTTGCTTGGCTTATTTTTCTCTTAAAGACATTTTTCGATTCCTGCAACTCTGACTTTGTCTATTATATGTTTAGATAGGGCTCTTGTCAAAGACTTAATATTTATCTTACCAATTGATTCAAAGGATCTTTTTGTTGTTACTTGACTTTTATGTCTTTTTGCAGTTTGGTTAGTTCTCCTTCAGTTGTAGGTAAAATAAAAAACATTTACACTTCTCCCCCTACGTGATAGGATGGAACAGAACATATGCGTTAAATTTATCCCAGAAAGGACTGCCAGATTTTATTTCAAGTAGTATTACAATACTTTCAGATATTACATATCAATCTTATTGTTATGGCTAAAATTGGACATACAGGGTTAACACATTTCCTATCTTTTGATGTAATTCAGCTCATAATTTAACTCATGTTTTGGGAGTAGGCAAAGTGAGAAGGTGTCATATTGGCGATTGATACTGGATTAATAGAGGGATTGAAAATTACTTCCTTTTTATATGTTTACTGCATGTAGTGTGCAGCATATGCACCCACTCAATGATGAAGTTCAAACCTGCTGCAAAGCTGG